TGACATCTCATATCTCCTATTTGTGTGCAAGGAAGTCATATATGCCCTACCTGATTGTCATGGCACTTTATCTCCTTCATCTGATTGTCAGGAGATCTTGTCTCTATCTGACAATCGGGTCTCATCTCTTTAGTTATATGTCTAGAAGTTCCATCTCTTCTCTCTAGGTGACCACAAGGTCTCATCTCCCTTACTGGAGTATAAGCATATCTCATCTCCCCTATTTGAGTGTCTCAAAATCTTATCTTCCCTACCTCAGTGTCATGCATTCCCATCACTTTTGCCTGATCACCAGGACATCTCACTTCCTCTAGAGGAATGTCCAGAGGTCTTGTCTCATATGCCTAATTTCAAGAGCTATCATGTTCTCTATATGAGTGTCCCAATGTCTACTCTTCCTGCAAGTCATAAGGTCCTGCCTGCTACTCAGCCAGGACACTTCACCTCGGATTAACAGGGAGCAATGACTGGGCACCATAGCTCCTGTAATCACAGCACTTTGGGAGACTGAGGCAGGAGGATTACTTGAGTCCAAGAGTTTAAGACCAACCTAAGACAGCATAGCAAGACCTCATTTCTACAAGAAAATGTTAAAAATTAACTGAGTGTAGTGGCAGGTACCTGTTGTCCTAGCTTCTTGGGAAGCTAAGGCAGGAGGATCACCTGAGCCCAGGAAGTTGAGGCTGCAGTGAGCCATGATCATGCCACCACACTCCAGACTGTGTGACAAAGTGAGACCACAACTCAAAACAAAAGCAAAATGCAACAAAAATCATGCGTGACAAAGCCTTTTCCCTATCTTAATAGCAGAATGATTTAACTCCCTTCACCGAGTATTGAGAGGCATTATTTTCCTACCAGCCAAGCAAGAGGTTTTGTTTCCACTTAAAGAATGTAAGTGGGTCTCAATGATATCAATGGAGTACTGTGGGATTTTTTTTTTTAATCTCTGCTACCTGCGTGTCAGACAGTCTCCTCACTCGGAGCTGAATGGCAGGGGATCTCCACTCCCCGACCTGAACATAAGGAGGATTTCTCTCTCTTGGGTCAGTTTCAGGGACTCGGGTGCTTTATTTGAGCATCAGAAGCTCTTATCTCCCACACTTGAGAGTGTCATGAGGACACATTCCTTCAGTCTGAGTGTCAGGAGGATTCTTCTTCTCTACTAAATGTGTGAGGGCTTTCTTTTTCAACCTTTATGTCAGATGGTCTCATCTCCTGTTGCTGAAGGTCGGGAAGTCCTGTTTCTCCATCCTGAGTGCTAACAGGTTTAAATTCAACTACTGAGTGTTGGGAGACTTCACTTATTTTTAACTGAGTGCCAGGTTGTGCCTAAGAACTTGGAAAATATAGTTTAAAAAATGGCGAAAAAAAAAACTTCAAGAAGTGATATTAAAATGAATTCAAGAAGTGACTAAAGTTTTGACTGTTTAAGAAAAGATTATTTGATGTTTTTAAAGGATTTTTTAAGGTTGAAAAAATAGTTTATTTTTTAAGTATAGGAGAGAGAGAGAGAGGAGATTCACCTCCCCAAGGTAGGGGAGGGAGCCAAGGCTAGGAAACATGGCAACATGGCTCAAGGAGCCACATGGTCAAACCATGGCTTAGCAAAGCAACAGCCTTAGAGAATTTTGATGGGCATAAAATTGTTATGACATTTATATCCATGAGAATTGTTTAAAAGAATGATGTAGAATTTTAAGTGTTAATATGTACAATTTTCTGGAAATCACAACTTTTGCAACTACTTAAATGTATGGTGAAAATGTTAGATACAAAATTTTAAATGAAAAGTATTACCTAGTTCTTTAAAAATATTTAGGAGGTATCAGTAACAAAGTCTAAATACTAGATATCTAGAGTCTAGAAGGCCATTATTGTTCAACTTCAGAGCTAGCCCACTTCTGATCTAGAAGGGGCTGTCAGTCAATAGTGCCTACCCTGGGCATCAGTGATGGTTGTGGGAAAGGCATGTGGCCCAGCCTGTTCAATTTTGTCATTAATCCTAATGGAAGCAACAAACTAGGAGTAACTTTCTCTGCCTCCTTTTTACTGTTCTGAGAGCTAATGCGGGAGGGGTGATGGTTATGGTTCTGGGGCCAGAGGATGAAGTCCTATCCTGGGGCTTGGGTCAGGCTGAGGCAGAGTGCCCAGCACAGGGGCCAGAACGAGGGACTCCCAGCACCCCCAAGACCCCTCTCTACTGTTTTCTGCCCCCACCCCTTCCCATGACCCCAGTCCTCTGCTGCCCCTGCTCACCCTAGACACCCATGCTTGCCCCAGTCCCACCCACTTCTGAATTCCCATCAATCAGAGCAGTCTAACTCCCTGTCTTTTTCACCTGGATCCCCAGCCCTTTCGATCTCTCCCATCCATACCCACCTCCTCCATGTCTGCTCTTACCCTCTTACCCCACCTCTTGTTCTCTAGGACAGCCCTCTGCAGAGCAGAAACTTTATCCATCCAGCCTTAGTGTCCAGGCCCTATACCCAAGCTGTCCACAGGACCTTGGGAGTGGCTGGAGGCAAGGGAGAACCATGGCTCCAAGCTCCAGGAGAGTGTTAGTGAGTCACCCAGGACCCCTGAAGGAGTAAATCTGGCAATCCTGGGTCAGAGTAGACCAAAGGGGGTGGTCCTGAGTGAGAAAGTCTCAGCCCTGTTTCCCTCTGCCATTTCCTCACGACTGTTAGCAAGTTTCTCTGTTCCAGGCCTCGAAGGTCCCAACATGTCTCTGGGGGCTTTTGACCTGGGGGACATTCACCTTCTCCCCACAGATCCTTTGGGAGCCAGAGTGGGTGACGCCATTTCCATGGAAAACAGACTCCCTGCCCCTTGCTCAGAAGGAAGCCAACCTCCTCCTTTCCCCATTAAGAACCTGCACTCCTGTCGGAAAGGGGGGTGGGTGGTGGGATTGGTAGTTGAGGGAAACTGCTAGGGGAGGGAAGGGCATACCTCATCAACAAGGGTACCTGCATAATCGATGTTTGTATACCTAACTCTAAATTGTACCTCACATCTTTATAATAAAAAAATTAAATTAGATTAGATTAAAATTAATAAAATAAGAAAAAAAAAGAAGTTGCACTCCCCCAGGCTCTGAGTCCCAGTCAAAAAATCCACCCTTGATGCCAAGGGTGAGTCAGTCAGGGGGGTCTCCCTCTACCCCCACACTGGGACCCTCCCAAGGTCCAAATTCTTGACTTCCTGTGTGTCCCCTTCCTTGTGATGGCCACAGTTTCTACCTGAAAATGAGATCTGAAAACTAGAAAATATTAGCCAGGCTTGGTAGCATGTGCCTCTAGTTCCAGCTACTTGGAAAGCTGAGGCAGAAGGATCGCCAGAACCCAGCAGGTGGAGGCTGCGGTGGCAGTGAGCGTACCACTGCACTCCAGTCTGGGTGACAGAGTGAGACTCCAACTCAAAAAAAAAAAAAAGAAAAGAAAAGAAAATTTGAAAATAATGAAAATTCAAAACTGTGGGGCTTTCTAGAGAGACAGCAAGCCTCTATAGGACCCACTGCCAAGCAATCACTGTCCTCAGCATCAAGGGGCTTGTGTCATTCTCCACTTGGCAATTCAGGTTGTTGCTAGTCCTCTTAAACGGTCTCTAGAGTCACTCGCCTCTTCTGGTGAAGATGCCCCGAGCCCATTCTTTTTCTGCCTTCAAGCATTCTTATTTCTTCTAGGAGCTTCATGTCTTCCCGGCTGGTTCTGCCTCCCAACCCACCCTGGCTAGGGATAACCTCGGAGTCAAGGTCTACATTTGTCATTTTGTCATATCATGCCACACCTCACCCAGTGTGTTCAGGCTCCACATTCACTGCCTCTCTTGAAACATCCCTCAGGTGACATGGCATCTCTGCAGCCCCTGGCCATCTCCCAGGCCTGGATTCCATGCTCTCCATGCTCTTATGGCTGCCTCTTGATCCCCTTTCCCCACTCAAGAACGTGTCTGCCCAATTACCTTACTGTTTACCTTTCAAGATGTAGCTCACCACCACCTTCCACTCACTGAGGGGTCCTCTGCCCCATCCGTGGGCTGGCCACCCCCACCAGGTGCCACATAAGACAAGCTTCCCTTGCCACATTATTGGACTGCTTTCACGACTGCCTATACACACAGACACAGTACAACGTGTGTTGGCTCAGGGTAAGAGCACAAGCTAAACTTCACATTCAGCTGGGTAGACGACCCAAGGTGAGAAGCAACAGAGATGCTCTGAGATGGTGGCAGGGTTCCGAGTATGAAGAGTCTAATATCTAACTCAGACTCTGGAGACAGCAGGTCGAGGAAGGCTTCCTGGAAGAAGGGACCTAGAACTCAGCCTCTAAGGGCAATGAGGCTTTACGCAGGTGAAGGATGGCTGATTCAGGCAGAAGGAGGTGGGCATGAGTAGGGATGAAGAGATTGCAAGAGTGCAGCAAGACTGCCAGGCAGCATATGTGCTGGGTGAGGAGAAGCAGGCATGGCCTTGGCAGGGACACTGTGGTGCTGGCTGGGTCAGATTGGCTCATGGGGTCCTTCCATCAGCTTCAGAGATGGTCTTGTGTTGGTGAGCAGAGGGTAAAAACGGAAACAGAAAACCACAGAATCCACAGGGAAGAAGTGAGGCCTGAACATGATCTGCAGCCGGGGGGTAGGACAGTGGAGCAAGAGATGAGGGGGTTCAAAGACAAGAGCAGCAGAATTTATGAACAACTGGACACTGGAGGGAGAAGGCTTTAAACCTTAGGTTTAAGACGTGGCAGGGGTCACAGAGGACAACCAGATTCTAGCTTTGGAAGTGCCACTTGGGTTGCTGGTGAACAGAGAAAAGCCTCCAGTTCAGGAAGCACGGGCTGAGTTCAAGCAGACTCAGCTGGGAGAAGCCAGGTACCTGGGAATGAGGTTAGCAAAGGCTTGGGTCAAAGACTGGGATCTAAGAGCCACCAGTGCATGTGGTCAAGGCTGGGGATGATTTGTGTTCCCAATATCCCCTCAAGCAGCCAGCCGAGACACGGTTTCATTTCTTATAAATTTATTACATAATATTATAATAATTATTATCAATAATAATAATATAAGAAACATAGATCTCTGTGGGGTGTATCACAACGTCAGGGTCAGGAGGCCTCAGGACTGGAGCAGGGGGTGAAATCCCCCAGATGGAACTCCATACAAAAGGAGAGGTGAAGCAGAACTGACCCTGTAAAGTTAAAAACCCAAATTGAACAGAACCAAAAACCCACAGGTGAGGGTGAGACCGAGTGTGTATGTGGCAGTCTGTTACATTGACTGCTGCTGTGTGTGACCTGGACTGTTGGTGAAAGGGTTAGTGGGTGTGACTCTGTGCCCAGGGAATGGGGCCGGTGGGCCAGGGCGGGGCGGGCGGGCACAGACCGGCGTGCCAGGCCCCTGGGCTGTGAAAACTTCTGTTTTCTGTCTTTTTTATATTTTTTTTTATTAAAAAAAGCTAGAAATATAAACAGAAACTTGTGAGTGACGTGGATGGAGCTTAGTCCAGACTCCAAACCCTAGGTTTAAAAACGTCCCAGGGCCCCCCACCCCACAGGTCATTGCTGAATGTGAGGAGTCACAGTAAGGGGGGCTGGGCACCCTCAGGGGTCTTTGACTCTCCCCAGGGCCTGTGGTGGCCTAACTCTAGGGGTCCCCCTGTGATCCCCTCAAAACCCAGGGCTTCGGGAAGCACTGCCTCCAAGTGGCCCTTGGGGCCTCCCCAAGCAACAGGGTTTCACCAGGGAACCCTGCTAGGGCTCGGCGAGGCTTTGGAAGGACAGGCTGGGCAGACAGCAGGACCCAGGGTGCAGGCTGGCCTCTGACTTTCTTTGGAAGAGGAGGCAGGGTGCCTTCACAGGCACACACCCATGCACGCACCCTGTGCACACCTCCACAGCCCCACACTCAGCCAGGGGGGCTGCAGGGGCCACTCAGTAATCAGGCACACACACGGCTCCCACATGCTCAACTGCACCCAGAGTTTCACCCACGCACATAGGGCAGGAACAGGAGACTTTGGGGTCCGAGGCAGGGAGGCTTCTCTGCTAAAGTTACCCAAGAGCATGGGGCCCAGGCTGGACCACCTTGGGGAGAAACCCTGTGAGGAAGATGGCTGCGGGTGGAGTGCCAGGGCCCTGCCCCCACCCCCAGGGCGATGGTTTCTCAGGCCGCCCGATCCTGCTGGGCACCAGCAGGACCCACCGCCTGCGCCCTCTCCCCACGAGCAGCACCTGAAGGGTCGGTGGGGCACACTATAGCTCAGCGAGGGGAGGGGGCCGAGCTGGGGCCCCAGGGCGGGCCACTAGGACCCTGGCCAACCCCAGACCAGCTGGAGCGTCCCCTGCCCCGTGTGGGGTGGCAGTGGCAGTGAGGGGCCAGAGATGGAAGACTGGGCAGCTGCAGTGGGACCAGCGGGAGGGGTAGACGGGTGGGGAGTGGAAACTATTACGGACAGAGATATTTGTTCCTTTTCTCGTTCCAAATATAGAGTGGATTAAAATATGCAAAACAGGGGGGCTCCTTGGCCCCGATCGAGAACCCCAATGTCTCCCCCCTCCCCCCGAGTCACCAAGGCGTGTCCTGACCTCGCATGCTGGACTAGTTTCCCCCTCTGGGAGAATGGCCTCCAGGAGCTG